TTGGTTCTGTCACTAGTTTTCACATGCATTATTTTCCTCTGTCAAGTCTTTAAATCAGCTTTTTCAGGGATAAAGAAAGTAGGCCTGACTCTCAGCCAATCAGCTCTCAGCCCGAAGCATCAAATTGTGACTCACTGGGATCTTGTGAGATGACAGCATGGTGTGGTCTGATTTGTTCGCAACATTTAACCTTTTCAAAACCCTTTCTGTTGGGGAACAAAAACACATGCGTTATTTATGAAGAATAAAAGTCAGTACCCCATCTTTAATTGTAAGTTGAAACCGAATTTATACCAGACAGGTTTTAGATTATTATTATTATTATAACATATGTGTACTTTACAACAGAGCAAACATTTCCAAAATACATTCTAATACTAGTAGAGAATTGCCAGTAATCTAAAGCTGCAACCTCTTCGCTAAAAGTTTGTTTTCACTCAAAAAGATGATACAAGAAACTTGTTACATCAATACTGCATTAAAAAATCAGCACTCTCCGGTCAAGTCTTATTATATTTTAAAGCACAAGAAATAAAATGAGAGTTGTGGCGTTCTTCATGGGTTACACACAGCAATAAAAGGAGGAGCATTCCATTCAAACGCCCAAACATGGGATTAAAATCAAGTTAAATCCTGTAACATGTCTTTATATAGGCAAACGTGTGAGAGACTTCTCCAATCCCCCCAAACTTCAGGGTGTGGTGTTTTTTTTAGAGTTCTTAAAGAAAAAAAAGAAAAGAAACGAAAGAAAAGTGGGTGTTTCTTTTTTTGGGATGCTTTAATCTGATTGGCCGCAGCTACCTTCTAAAGTCCAATACCTGCACCAGGTGGGGGAAGACGGCCTCATTCGACAGACAGCACCCATGGGACTCACACACAGAGGAAGAGGCTTTGCAGAGGATGGACCGCTCAAGGATGACAACAAGTGAGTATAGATCATTTAGCAAATTAAACTAAGTTACTATGCATGTTGTATGAGCATAAGTTGCATAGAACATTCCATATGAGCTATTTATGATTTTTAATAATAGGTCGAAATCATTTGTATAGAAGTGATCTTAATGTTTTACAGGCTCTGTGGTTATAAATAAGACCTTGACAATAGTTGAAACTAAGAACTGGGATACTAGCTCGGCCTTGAATTGAAAAATAAGGAGTCATCCCAGAAATAAAACCACATCCCTATCCAAGACCTGCATGAGGTAAATCTATTTTAAAATGCAACTTTTTTAATTGATCAGGACTACAAAATCCAAAAAATCTATTTCAATTACATTATGCATAAAAGTTATAAAAGCTAAACCCTTGCACTTTTTGATTGTCTGTTTGATAAGCTTTCCCCTACCTGCATGCGTGTACACGATTAACTTTTGCATTGTCTTTTCTCCCCGTACAGGACTGGTGACTAAGGGGGCAGAGCCGGGACTTGTGATAGCATGCCAGCAAGAAGCCGGGAGAGCCCTGCAGCTATTCAGTCCTGGGCAGGTTTGGTCTCGCTCAACTCTGGCTCAAAGAAACTCAAAGAATCCAACTCCCCCTTCAGCCTGCAGGCTCAAACCCAGCAGTTGTGAAGGGAAAGTTGAAGCTAAGGATTTGCCTAATGTGTGTTTTGGTGGTTCTTAAAAATGGACTTTGTTATGTCGGGGAGAATAATGTGGCGTTTTCTCTCCTTCATTCCACCGGAGTCTGTCTGTGTCACAAACCAGATTTCAGTGGCATGAAGTATAGAAGGCATTGCAGTAAATCGGCGTATGAGTTTCGATATATAGACAGAATAAATGGGTTTTCTATGCGTTGAATATAAAAAAATAAAGAAACTGTGCAGTGACTAATCTTGCACAAATAAAGTCCATGACCTCTTTGCTCTTGTCTTACTGTGTGTTTTATTTCTTTATATTTCACTCTAACATTTCAGATGATAACACAGCCATTATACCACCCACACCCAGGTTGCCTTGGTTCTCAGCCCTGCAGCAAGATTGCATTTTTATTCTGTTTTCATTAGTCAACGTCGAAAACCGGAGACGCACCCACACAAACAACCTTTTACGCTTTGGCAAATGAAGCTTATTAACAATTTAAAACATGCCCTCACCAACTCACAAGTGTGTAAAAAAGAAAAAGTATCTTACTGCTGAGGAGTCTGAAAGCTGCAGGAATACAAACAAAAAGTCTACACTGTTGAGATAGTTAGAGTAGTTTGAAATACATTGTGGTTTGTGATTTATGGTGCAATATCAAATGTGGATTTATATTTTGGTAGCATCGATCCACTTTGAATGGAAGTAAATTAGTTGGTCCAAACATTGACACCAACCAGCATTTCAATTAATGTAGTTAAGATAAATATGAATCATTCGAACATGAAGGTTTCAAAGGAAGGGGCTGTGTCAAAAAAAAAGAAAAAACAGTATTTTCACTCAGAGGTGAAATGAGGGGGAATGTGGGGAAATGCCTGGGAGCTCCTGCAGCGCTTGTGTATTTTCTATAAGAATACACTATAAGAGACCAGGAGCATGCCACTAAACCATCCAACACTGGTCACAACCACTTCTTTCTTCAAGATAGAGGAGGCCAGCCCTATCCAGGTGAGTAGATCTATAGCAGGGGTCTCCAACATTTTTTGATTGGATAATTACTTTTATGCAACAGAAATGACAGAGCGCTACTCTTTTTATCCACTCATAATAAAACTTTAGTCTACATGTATAAGATAAGACAAGATAAAATATACTTTATTGATCTTCCACAGGAGAAATGTACAGTAGAAGTCACATTTGGCATAGATAGAGTCACTCAGATTGTGCAAAAGACAGAAGTGTGCAAACATGTTAACCCTTGTATTATGTTAAGGGTCAATTTGACCCATTTCAGTTTTTGTGTTGATCAAAGTACTGGTTATCCTTTCTTTTTCTTGCTGAAATTTGGTGACTTTTCCTCATCTAGGGTCATGAACTGGTGTGTAAAATCTGGACACTTTGATGTGTAGTGGAATGTCTGTGCAGAGTTTGTATACAAAGATGATGTTGCGGGTCATTTTGACCCAGACGCTTTAATGTGGGTAAATAGTTGTTCAGATCCAAAAAAACATGTCTCTTTGACATTGTATTTTGATTTTCTCTGAGACCCAGAGCCAGGTGTGTGAGGAGAGGGAACTTTTTCACACTTTTCCTTGTCACTGTTCTCATGTCATCTCTTTTGCTTAGCGTACATCGGACTGGCAACTGAATATATCCGTCGCCTTTGAGTTCCTGCCCCGCACACATCGACAATGTGGCGAAAACGGGCAACTCCTAGTAGCAGACCAGTCTGGGCAATAACAGCGTGTACATCGACAGCAACTGGCCTCAACTACAGTGTGTTTTCTGACATAAACTGTAGAGGGCGCAGTACACGCAATACACATGTTGTTGGAGCGCGCACATCGGGTGATATCTCCGGATCTGAGTAAAACTAGTTGCCGAAAAGTAGAACACGGGCAACTGACTGAATCCGGAGATTGACTGTTTATCTCCAGTTGTAAGAGCGCTCACATCGACCGATTTCAGCAACTGATCATCTCCATCATCTACTCTCAGTCGCCAAAAGCCGCCTTGCAACTAGTTGTCTCCAGTTACTCTGTCGAGGTACGCTAGGCTTTAGACAAACTCACCAAACATGAGCTCCAGAAGGATGACATCTGAGGAGGCTTTATCACAGATTTTTAACTGGGATAATGATGTAGAGGAAGAGATTTCAGAAACAGAGGATTTTTCAGAGACAGAGGACAATGTTATTGCTGATCCAGATTGTCAATTTTCCTACGATAAGGAGGTTTCAGAGGACGAATCTTTGGTCAAAGAAGAGGAAGGTAGGAAGGAAAGAAGGGAGACAAGAAGGAAGGAAGAGAAAAGAAGGGAATTTAGAAGGGTGAACAGAGAGAAGGAAAACAGGATGAGAAAAAGGAAGGAGAAAGCATGGCAGGAGGAAAGAAGGAGGGAAGAATTGTCATTTTGACCCGAGAGGAGGACAAGAAGATTAGACTAAATAATTCTTAAATATAGCGTTGGAATTAAAAATTTATTGTATGTCACTTTTCTAAATATTTATATAACCTAAATCAAAGTTGTTATTGGTTTAACCTGTTTTCTTGACTGTTTTGAGTGCATTTACACAGTACGGGTCAAAATGACCCGCAACATAATCAATGTCATTTTTTTCCAACATAATACAAGGGTTAAAGGCAAAAACCAGACCTAGTGCAGACCTAGTGCAATGACTGATTTATTGTTCAGTCTGACAGCGGTGGGGATAAAGGCCCCGCGCTAGCGCTCCTTCTTGCACTGAGGGTGCTTCAGTCTTCCACTGAAGGAGCTCCTCAGCTCCTACAGTCCTGTGCAGTGGGAGGTGTTGTCCATGATGGAGGTGAGCACCCTCCTGTCCCTCACTTCCTCCACAGAGTCCAGGGAGCAGCTCAGAGTGAAGCTGACCCTCCTGACCAGCTTGTTCAGTGTACTCCTGTCCCGCCCTGTGCTGCCCAGGGCCCAGCACACTGCAGCGTAATGTATGGCAGAGGCTACACAAAGGTCCTGAGCAGAGGCCTGCTCACTCCGTGCAGAGGCCTGCTCACTCCTCAGAAAGTGGAGCCGACTTTGGCCTTTCTTGTTGGTGTTATGAGACCAGTCCAGTATATTGTTAATGTGAACACCCAGGTACTTGAAGCTGTCCACCAGCTCCTATGTAATAATAAATACATGTTTAGTTAAATTACATATGCAATGAGTGTGAATGGATCATGTGTCTAAATCCTGAATCATTTGGCGAGCTACCTGAAAGGGGTTGACGAGCTACTGGTAGCTCCCGAGCCACAGGTTGAAAACCACGGATCTTATTAGTTTACTGGTTGCTATGGTGACATCAACACTGTGATCAACACCAGTTAGCCATAATACTTCAAGTTTAGATTATTATTTTGATTGGCTTGGACTTTACTTGTGAATGTTTGAGTAAATAAAAGTGAGATGGAGGTTTGGAAGCTGTGTGCTGTTGTGCTCCTCCTCAGTCCCACCTTCAGGGCCCAAGACACAGGTAGGACGACACTGCAGCTTTTAATTAACAGGAGACTGGAGGGGCTGTTTTCTACCCTCTACGTTTACTTTAGCTACAACTACCACAGATGTGTTGTGGAGCGCACGGACTGAATTTTGCTAATTAAGAGCAAACCTCATCAATAGAAAGGGGGCTGTACGGTCCTCACTGCAACAATAGCAGTTCCAGTTCGCCAGCGAGCTGAACTTTGCTTCAATGATGAGACGATTGTAGCAGATAGCGGTTTAATGCTCATCTCATTAACAGAGTGAAGCTGTAAGAAGAAACATACAACCATCTAAATATATACTTTTGAGTGATTTCAAATTGTGCATTGCATTAATACTTTGGATTCCCAGAGAAAAATGGCTTATTAGCCTCTAAAAATTAAAATCACACCACAACATTGAAAGCATCTTTTGGAGGTGATGTCAAAAAACAGTTTGCTTAATAAAAACATTGACAACATTTACATTTTTACATTTCTAATCTACAAAGTTCAGCTCTAACTTTTCACAAGACTAAACGAAACAAAAAATTGAGGAACTAAATAAGTACCAAAATTTTCTGTAAAATTTCAGACGATATTAGAATGACTACCATTTTTCCCTGTTACAACTCCCCTTCAGCCTGAAGGCATCGCCGTTTTCATCTCCATAACAACTGTTTCTCACTTCAGATACCACTAGTTCTGCGTACCACCGAAATAGATTTTAAATAGAATTAGCCACAACAAAGCTAATCCACTCATTCTGAAGGGTGGAACAGATAAGTTTACTTTTGCTATATGCCTCAGATGTGTTGTAGATTGCACAGGCAGAAAGAGCCACCCTCGTCAACAGAATGGGGGCTAGTAAGCGATGACGTAGAACCCTGCACATCCTGGTCCGGGTTAAAGTGTTCATTTGTCCCGGTGCACAGTGGAAGAGGATTCAAGCGCCCATCAGCTAGAGAGTCTGGTGATGCTGCTGACGCTGACAGAGTGCGAGGAGCTGGTGGAGGCTCTGTCCACTCCAGACGACGACATCTTCAAACGACTGGAACGACTGGCCCCAGAGAACAACCAGCTCAACCTCCAGCCGCTAAGCAAGAGAAGCCTGCTGTCTGACCAAGGTACCAGCGTCACTGTTGAGATGGAGGCTGGAAAATATATCTTACACACCAGCATTGAATGTGTCCGATGATCAGGCAGTGAGGAGAAGTGCAGGAAGGCCCTGACAGACTGGTTACTGGAGAACGGAGAGGAGATGTACTACGACAGACTCACGCGATCTCTGCAGCACATCGGGAGAACAGATGTGGCACTTGGTTAGTCTGTCCTTTTTATAACATCTGTGTCACTATATTATAAACTATATACACACATCCCACTATTTTTTCATTGACCAAACTATACAACTGCAGTGGAAATGACAAACTCGTATGGCATCTACAGCTTGTATGACATTCAGATTATCACCGTCTGCATCGCACAGTGGCTAGGGATGAGTTCAGTATTGAGTAGAAGTGGACTGTTTAAACAATGGTAACCTGCGAGTTCTATAAAGTCTGAGAGGGAAGTGCTCTTGAGCCAAGTTGTGCTCCCACTTGTTTTGGATCCATTCACTTACATTGAAAAGTAAACTCCTCTAGCTCTGTGTCACACGCCATTTAAGCTTCAACAATCTGTGGTTTACCGCTCTGTATGATCCTGTTGTTGTTATTTTGATAATGTTTTGTAAATCTAGTTTCGTTCATTAACAACTGACTCTTTGGTGACCTCTGTTCCTTGAATATACAGTAGCTAGTAGCACAAGTGGGAACAGAACATGTGGGAACCAATCCTGATTAGGTCTTAGCTTACAAGGTTGTTGCTACCCATCATTTTGGCTCCAGATTCTTTCCCATTGGGCCTACTTGAGTTAGCTCTAAGCATCGTATATAAAATGGAGTCCCATCTTTCTACGGCCCAAGGTAGAAACACCTCAGGCACAAATGAGATTCTTGGTTCATCTTCCAGCTCCTATGGCCACATTGGTTTCCATGCTTTGTACAGCTTCCCCAAAGCAAACTAGAAGTATGGCCATACTACCAGGCCAGTCAACCATCATGAGCATATCCACAGTAGAGTAAATTAGTAGATACTAACAGACAGTAACAGAAGTGGGTGAAATTAACACCCACAGTCAGTGAGAGTCGGTGGAGAAGGTCTCGTGGTGGGCTCGACCCCACAACCTTTAGGCTCAAAGGCCAATGCCCTACCAAGCCACCTGAGCCAATGCCACCCCAACAAAATCTTTTAGCAATTAATATACCTAAATTAATGATGAATAGATGAAATTCAATGCTCTTGAATGTCCAACCATCAAAATTCTACAGAACAAATGTATTACTAGACCAGTGGTGGGCAAACCCCTGCCCGAGGGCCAGATACGGCCCTTTGGATGCTTCTATCAGGTCCCTTTAATAAAATGTCTATGTATAAAATTGTGTAGCCTGAAAAAAGCATTGGAAATGAGGTGTGGCCCCTGACAGCGGGCTGATGTCCAATGTGGCCCTCAGGAGGAAAAGTTTGCCCAAGCTTGTACTAGACCGACAGATAATAGTAACAGCTGTCATCTCATGTCACAGACTGTAATAAACTTACTCTCATGGTACTTCATTACTCATGTCTTGATGAACTGTGTATAACTGCTGCGTTAGGCTGAGGTTTGGATATAATTGGGCATATGAGGAGTGCCATCTTTAGCACGTTGCCAGAGAGGGTGGCATGTGTGAGTCCACTCCGCAGGCCGGTGGAGAGTGAAGAGGGATGTGTAAATGATCTGACAGAGTCTCAGTGAAGATGACAGCAGCCACAGTACAAACCATCTGCTCCACTCATCAGCGCCTTCACAGCAAAAAATAGACGACGAGCAGAAGCCACGGCGAAGACAAGATAGTGCCAAATGCTGCATTCGGCAATATCACATTTCTTTGGAGATCTATGTAAGAATGTGATCTGTGTGATTGATTACATCATAAAACAGAAGTCAGGGCTTGGTCTAAAATGACAATCAATCAATCATTTATTTGTTCAGCACAATTTGTGTACAAGGCAATTCAAAGTGCTTCACAAGAGTAATTTAAAAACAGATCAAAAAGTAATTTCATATAATAACATTGTCATAAAAGTATGGGGTTTAAAACTCTTATTCAATTTTGGGTTTAAAAATGGAGATAAAAGCAATGAATAGCAAAAAATAGATATGACTTTATTCACAGATTTTAGCAAGATTCAATTTAATTTCAATTCAATGTATTTTTGTATAGCCCTAAATCACAACGGTCTCGGAGGACTTTACAAAATTGAGATAATTTTACAATTTGTACAGTTCTTGGGAATTATCTGTAAATCTGATGACATCTGGAAGTTTGAAAAAACAGGACCAAATTTCCCACAACACTGATCATACTTTTCTCTGTCCACTTTTGTTTCAATATGTATTTTTACAGCTCTATTGATAGATTATGCATACTGGAAGAACACAGCTATTCATCCTGCTTTTATTGGCCAAGAGTAAAATCCTGATGACATGAGTTGTTTGGGGTTCACAGATCTCACAGGAGGAATACAAGACAAGGAAAAAAGAACTTTGTAACTTTCTAGAACAAATAATAACATTGATATTAACACGAATTCTATTGTTGGGTTTTCACAGAAATGACAAAGAAGTTCAACGAGGACAAGTTGCTGAGTCTGACGCGTTACGTTGAAGACTATCACAAAACCGTGAGCTCTTTCAATGTTCCGGAAGAACCCACTGAAGCAAAGAAGAAAGTGAAAGGTGAGCTACAGTGAAGTGATGTGAAGCCTCATTCACTCTCTTTGCATTTTGGCAGATTTGATCCTGCTACAGGGTTTTCAAGAAAGCTCTCGGAAACAATTTTTTTCCTCTATTCAAGATATAATAATAATACATTTTATATTACAATTTTTTCATGATTAAAAATTTTCATAAATCTGAATTTGGTCTGATGAATAGAGTTTACTGTTGGAATCTCCAGTATGCAACAACGGTCTGACAGGAGTTAATACAAATTATAGATAGATATTACACGGCTCCTCACAGCAGCAGTAGAATAGATCGATAGATAGATAGATACTACCTCACTGTAAACCGTGATTGGCACCAATCATATGTCATCTTTGGCTTGGATTGAAATAATGCCATATATACGGAGGCGCTGCGACAATAAAACGTGAGTTAGAGTTGGGTATCAGTTTGGCCTTCTGCTTAAATTTAGACAGTGTTTTGGGTGATAATGTAAGCATCAAGAACTTGAGAAAGTGTGTCGTGTTGTAAAGTTCTACTGCACACTTCTGGTCACCTCTTGTTTTCTACATAGGGTGGGACTTCCAGCAAAATAATCTAGATACCTTTGTTGTGTAGCGTAGAGAATTGAATTGATCTCTGTGCAATAGACTTTAGACTTAATTCAACATCAAGAACAAGGATATTACTTTTTGAATAAGGACTCTTTCTGCAGTTGCTTCGAGGGACTGTTTTTGGACTTTCCCTGTGGAGTTGGTCTCAATGACAAATCCTGTGATGTTTCCACTGATCCTTAAATCTATTAAGTGTTTTGATGAGATCAGATGTGCAGCTGTGGGCACGCTGCCAGCTCATTATAACATCAACACTCTCTCTTCTCAAAGTATTTCCCAAGTGGACCAACTCACTATGTAATTATCACCTGGTCACTTCCAGCTCCCAGAAGACTAATTTGATCAAAATAATCTGTTGTGCTTTGAATGTATTCATGTATTTTGGATATTTTCTTACTTTTTAACCTGCTAATTCTTTGTGCAGAGCAAATATTTTAATATCCGTTCCCAATGCACATTCAAAACATATGGTATAAAAGATATATTTAAGAAAAATTGCATCCCCTTGAAGTTTTCAACTCAAATCTTTTGAGCTGAATATCAGGGGCTTTAAGAAAACCGACCACAAATCGCGCTTGAAGAATTCGTGAAAACCCTATTTTTTCAGGATAAATGTTTATATTGAGTCATTGGACAAACCATTGAACAAACCATAGAACGACTGGGACACTACTGTTGAATATATTACACACAGTCAAACTACTTTTAAACAAAGTCCCATTAGTCTTGACTTAAATCTAACTGAAACTCTTGATACAAATGTCATCCTGTGTTTGACAGTGAGGAACCTGAGCAGTAAGAACCTGGACCTGATCCTGACGAGAGCTCCGGTGCCTCCATACAGTAAGGGCCCTTGGCATGTGATCCAGCCCATTCTTTTTGGATTTTTGATGAGCTTCTGTACTTTTCTTCTGCCTGGGGTCTGCATTGTTTGCTTGTCCATCAGGAGGCATCAGCAATTTAACGGCAACGCTCTCAAACTCTCAAACCAGAAATAATGTGTTAAATTGAATAAAAGATTCAGAAACATCCATGTCTTTTTAAATGTATTGTTTTTAAATGTAACTGTTTTCCGTGACTTCATCAGCAGTGAAGTCAGTCATGAGAAATCGTTTACTCATGACTGGTCATGGGTGGCCAGTGTGTACGTATATTTTTGGGGAAATATATTTTTGACAAATAGAAAAGTATAAAAACACTGCATCATAACATCGCAGTTATAATGTAGCCTACGTAGATTCAATCTGGTTGGCTACCTGCTGCTGGTGTCAAAGCCCGCTCTTCACCCTCGGCCTGTCACACAGCACTGCCAACCTACTCCAATTAAGCCAGCAGTTTAAAAGCGGAGACTTCACAACATCTATCCCTTTCACAAGCCTCGAAAGGAGTTGTTCTGGAGTCACTTTCGTTTACTCATGCCTCGCAACCACCACCTCCTCAACCTTCTAGCCACACTCTCATCTCAACTTCACCTGCTACCACCGGTTCCCAGACCCTATGCTACCACCAGTGCCTGGACCTTAGGTTCCCATCAGTATCTGGACCAATATGCTACCACCAGTGGGGCCCGGCTCAAAAATGTCCAAAATGATGTGCGCTGACATGCTTGCAAAACCACCCCTGGCCGATGGGGGTGAACCCGGAATAAGAATTAGCTAATGCTAATGTATAGCATCATTTACCTCTCGAAAACGGCTTTACAGGATAATAATAATAATAATAAATTTTATTTATATTGCACTTTACATTTCAAAGAAACCTCAAAGTGCTACAACAGGTAAATTAAAATCAGATAAAACAAAATGAACATGACATAGTAAAACAAAGCAAGCACAAGAGCAAAAACAAACTAAAAGGCCTTTTTAAATAAATGTGTTTTCAGGCCTTTTTTAAAGGCCTCAACACTCTGGGGAGCCCTCAGGGTATCTGGCAGGGCGTTCCAGAGTCTAGGGGCAACTGCCTTAAAGGCCCTATCTCCCATTGTGGAGAGCTTGGTCACGGGCTGGTGAAGAGTATGGGTGGAAGTGGACCGTAAGCGCCTTGTGGTGGTGTGTGGTGTAACTAGCTCAGTGAGGTATGTCGGGGCTGTTCCATGGACACATTGGTATGTGAGGAGGCAGATTTTATAGTGGATTCTGTAATGCCTTGCCTTGTAAAGGTGGATGGAAATGTATACACAGTATGTAAAGAAGAGACATACAGTGCCTTGCGAAAATATTCGGCCCCCTTGAATCTTTCAACATTTCACCACATTTCAGGCTTCAAACATAAAAATATAAAATTTTAATTTTTTGTGGTCCAAAAGTCAGCCCTTGGCCCAAATGTTCCACGCGTGTATCATTGCTGAGGGGAGTATAGTTTTTTGGACCAGTCTAGATTATTTGCTGTGAAATTTTGAGGGCACTCATTAAATGAATGGGGCTTGTGCCGGCTGATGCATGCACAATTGTGTATTTTCACATGTTCCAGCCCCGTGGCCATTTTGAAACTGCCCATAGACAGCAAAAGTGGTGGCACATAAGTTTCAATGATGGACGTACCTAGCATAGGTCCCAGGGGATTATAAGTGGCACACAAGTAATGATCGTCACAGACGATGTGCCGCTGCCAGGGCCTAGGGGGCCAAACAGACTAATGAATAAACACATTTCATTAAATGTGTCTGTGTCGTCTCTCCAGATTGGAATATAATTTATAGGTTTGATTCTGATGAGGTTTCCTGCACTATCCAAAACATGCACCGTAGGAATATTTCCAGTGTAAGTGTAATAACCCAACATATAAATCAATCTCTTAATCTCTTTTGCACTCTTATCCATCACCGTGACAATGCTATACCTGTCCTTAAACAAAGAAAACATGACACGATTACCACTTGAGATAAACGATTACCCTCAGTGTGCCGTCCTGTTGGAGAGGTGCCCGGGTGGGACTCGTTGGTGACAGATGTGCTGGAACCAAAGCGTTTTCCGGTGTCGCCTTGATACTGATGCTTCTTCCACTTCCCCTCGCAGTGACGGCAGCGTGCCCGACTGGCATTGACCGGCAGATAATTATCCAGGCTGGCACACGCTCCCTCTAAACCCGGGCACCGTAGCTCATCCAAGAGGCTAATAGCAAGGACAATGCAGACCGCCACAGAACTCCTGTTTGTGATGGCAGCTCCAAAAAAAGCCAAAAAATGTTCAGAAATTTGGAATGTGTTGAAAAAAAAAACACAATTCAGCTCAGAGGTGAACGTTAACAAACTTGGCCAGACTTGTAAAACCAGCGTCCGGCTCTTTTTTCCTCCGTTTGCCCGGGTCGATGTGGTGCTTCACGGTGGTTCCTGCATCTTTGGTTTTAAAAGATCTGGTCCTCTTTGGAGAGTAGAAAAACTTGTGACGTCGCCTCACTACAGCCCCCTTACAAACATGTACTGTACGTCTCCCAGGTATACATGCGGTTTTCCATTTGCTTGACCTATGTAATTGAGTCCTCAAAGGTGGATGGAAATGTACACACAGTATGTAAAGAAGAGACATACAGTGCCTTGCGAAAATATTCGGCCCCCTTGAATCTTTCAACATTTCACCACATTTCAGGCTTCAAACATAAAAATATAAAATTTAAATTTTTTGTCATGAATCAGCAAGAAGTGGGACACAATCGTGAAGTGGAACAAAATGTATTGGATAATTTAAACTTTTTTAACAAATAAAAAACTGACAAGTGGGGCGTGCAATATTATTCGGCCCCTTTACTTTCAGTGCAGCAAACTCACTCCAGAAGTTCAGTGAGGATCTTTGAATGATCCAATGTTGTTCTAAATGACTGATGATGATAAATAGAATGCACCTGTGTGTAATCAAGTCTCCGTATAAATGCACCTGCTCTTTGATAGTCTCAGGGTTCTGTTTAAAGCGCAGAGAGAACCATGAAGAAAAAGGAACACACCAGGCAGGTCCGAGATACTGTTGTGGAGAAGTTTAAAGCCGGATTTGGATACAAAAAGATTTCCCAAGCTTTAAACATCTCGAGGAGCACTGTGCAAGCAATTATATTGAAATGGAAGGAGTATCAGACCAGTGCAAATCTACCAAGACCCGGCCGTCCCTCCAAAGGAGAAGACTGATCAGAGATTCAGCCAAGAGGCCCATGATCACTCTGGATGAACTGCAGATAACTACAGCTGAGGTGGGAGAGTCTGTCCATAGGACAACAATCAGTCGTGCACTGCACAAATCTGGCCTTTATGGAAGAGTGGCAAAAAGAAATCCATTTCTCAAAGATATCCATAAAGTCTCGTTTAAAGTTTGCCACAAGCCACCTGGGAGACACACCAAACATGTGGAAGAAGGTGCTCTGGTCAGATGAATCAAAATCGAACTTTTTGGCCACAATGCAAAACGATATGTTTGGCTTAAAAGCAACACAGCTCATCACCCTGAACACACATCCCCACTGTCAAACATGGTGGTGGCAGCATCATGCTTTGGGCCTGCTTTTCTTCAGCAGGGACAGGGAAGATGGCTAAAATTGATGGGAAGATGGATGGAGCCAAATACAGGACCATTCTGGAAGAAAACCTGTTGGAGTCTGCAAAAGACCTGAGACTGGGACGGAGATTTATCTTCCAACAGGACAATGATCTAAAACATAAAGCCAAATCTACAATGGAATGGTTCACAAATAGACGTATCCAGGTGTTAGAATGGCCAAGTCAAAGTCCAGACCTGAATCCAATCGAGAATCTGTGGAAAGAGCTGAAGACTGCTGTTCACAAACGCTCTCCATCCAACCTCACTGAGCTCGAGCTGTTTTGCAAGGAAGAATGGGAAAGAATTCCAGTCTCTCAATGTGCAAAACTGATAGAGACATACCCCAAGCGACTTGCATTTGTAATTGCAGCAAAAGGTGGCGCTACAAAGTATTAGCGCAAGGGGGCCGAATAATATTGCACGCCCCACTTTTCAATTTTTTATTTGTTAAAAAAGTTTAAATTATCCAATAAATTTCGTTCCACTTCACGATTGTGTCCCACTTGTTGTTGATTCTTGACAAAAAATTAATTTTTTATATCTTTATGTTTGAAGCTTGAAATGTGGCGAAATGTTGAAAGGTTTAAGGGGGCCGAATACATTCGCAAGGCACTGTACGTCCATATTTCTTGTGTTTTAGGTCCGTTTTATTTACTTGATTTAAAAAAAGAGGTGATTCTGGATTATTTGCAACAAAGTCAGAAGTTTAATTTCAGACAATGAGGAACAACATCTCATTTCCATTATTTTCTCAATCACATGTGACATCCATCCAAAAGTAATGTCCAAAACAATCCCATAATCAAACCATTCCCAGCCCTTTCAGAAGGTCCTCTCCACAACTCTTTCAGCCAGTAGGACAGACCTAAAGACACATACCAGCTCTGTACTGCACTATAGCTGATCATAAGAAATGTTCTTATAGATAGACTTTTATACAAGGGTAAACAAAAGAACCATAGGAAATCCTGATAAGCTGCTGGGTCATTGAGATGAGATAGATAAGATAAGATCATCCTTTATTCGTCCCTCAGTGAGGCAAATTTCAATGTCATCGTTGCGCACATTACAGCAGAATAATAGGAGAAAATAAGTCCACTCAGGTTATGCACACATCAAACAGGATCTATTATTTAAGATAATAGATAATAGAATAATACATCATTTACATGCTTCCCCTTGGCCACATCATCCGTCACCATGGACTCCACTCTCACTGCTACGCCGAGGACACCCAGGTCTACATCTCCACCAAATCCATCTCCCCAGTCTCCACCATCACATACGGCATCACCGACTTTCTAAAACTCAATAGCAATAAAACAGACCTTCTCATCTCCGGATCCAAGTCACTCCTTCCCTCTGCTAAACACATTGACGGCCACACCCTCACTCCCTCCCAACGTTGGCGTTATGATGGACTCCGCCCTCTCATTTGAACTCCACATCAACCTCATCTCAAAAATATCATTTTTGAGATCACCTACAGACTTGACTAATACAACACTCTTCTCTATGGTCTCCCTTCCATATACATCCGGAACTCTTCGGACTTGAAGGTCCTCCTCCTCACCTTCAAGTCCCTCCATAGCCTGCGCCCTTCCTACCTCACTGTCCTCCTCCATCACCCAAAAACGGCCTATTTAAGTTTTATGTATTCTTATTATTTGTATTTGTATAATTTATAATAAAAAATATAGCTATATTTGTACTGGAGCTTTAATTCCACTAGGTTCAAGAAAAAGTACACTGTATATATAGCACTTTCCTGAGGTATTTACAGATGGTTGGTGTTGTACTTGAACAGCAGAGTACTACTGGTAGATTCAAATAACACAGTATAACAGCAGACAGTAAAAGAGCAGAAATACTTTTGAATAAACATGGGTGTGATGCTGTGGCAACACTTGCAGTCTGTAACAGCAGCATAGTGTGAAGCCACTCGTTAAAAAGGACCATTCTGTATTTCCACTGCAAAAAATCCTACAGTATATACTTTTTTATGTTTGTTGGCACTGTGATATTAGTAGAAACATGCAAAAGATGTAAGGACTAAAAAGTGACTTTCGCCACTGTATTCTTGTTACTGGTGCTCTCTCAGATACCAGCAGTGGCTGGTGCTGGTGCCAGTACCAGTTGTACAGTATGCTTACTCTCCCCGTCATAATTGAACGAATTACTTCATTACACAATTCTGGTGTAATGCGCTTGAGGAGGCAGACAGCTCGGATTAACCCTGAGCAGCCATTACGCGCAATTAGTTCATTAATCAACATTAGAACACATTATTGCACTAAAAAGAACTGAGCCAACTATAAAGCGAGGGAAATACACTAAAGAAATAAAAGTAGTAAATAAATAAAAAAGTAAAAGTCTGATACTTGGCTCACTTCATCCCACCAGCCAAGTCGATTTCTAAATGATTTAATTAACATCTAAATTGTATAATTAACATAGTATTATGTAAGTGTACAAAGCACGTGTTAATTGTGCATGTTTTATTACAACTATAAGTTACACTGCTCTGTAAAAAAAAAAAAAAAAAGTATTACTGTTATAGATGGCCAAAAGTAACTACCCCTAACACTGGCAACTTGACTGTCTCAAAAGTATTCCGTTTGTGTTTTTTACTTGACACTTGAAAGTGTCAAGAATGCAGGTGAGGTGTTGTGCCAAATGTGGAGGGATGTGAAATGTGTCGTCTGCATTTGACCCATCCTTCCATGCCCAGAGCGAGCTGTCAGGAGCAGAGGCGCCGCATGCAGCTGTGGAAAGGATGACAGGACGTCTACCACAGCTGCGGAAATAACAGCCTCCACCTCCTCCACCAGCAACTCATGGAAATATATCTTCTAATCGTAAATCCATCAGTCTGTCATTAACCCATATCACCTGCTGCTGCAAAAAGTGATTCAAAATACGTCAAAAAATGCTCAAATTTGGCCAAAAGCATCTAAATGTAAGCAAGTGTTGACAATCAAAATTATCTTGGAATAGAAAGATACAAGAGTTGTCTCCCTTGGAATGAGATAAACAACATTTCTTGAAAAAAGACTAAATGGCTTGTCTCAGTGGCAAATCTTGTTTTAAGACAGTCAGAATGTACTCTTAAAACAATTAAGATAAAAACCACTAGATTCAAGCAATTATTACCTCATGTTATAACATTTTTTGCAGTGTGGAGTTACATCAGGCACCAAAAGTGTATCCATATAATACATGTACAGTATATTCTCTCTTCACTCTTATCCCAGTAAAGCTCTTATTGTTAGTAAAATCCAACGCATCATTCTCATTCGGGTGCAGGCCAGGCTGAGCTGTGCCAGTCCTGTCCCCTGTCTCCCATCACTCTCCCCCTCCTCGATGGGTATGGATCACAGAGGGCAAGATGGCCGCTTCCTCTGCTGCTAAATGTACACTTTTCATCTCCTCACCAACAGATCGCAACTTTGTCTTCTGCTTTT